CAAATAACAGAATCAGGGCATCTCATGTCAGTCAAGCGGTTTTATGTACGAGGTTCCCAATATTGCAAGATAAAAAACCTCTGATAGAAATGTTTCAGCAAGAAAAGAGAACTTTTTATCCATTATACTTGACTAAATTGTGAAGTACTATAAAACTGAACGGTCAAATGGGTCTATCCCATGAGATTCAAAAACTGCAAATGCAAAAACCTCCTTAGAATCAAATAAAAGTTTTGTAGGCTAAAAAGGCAGCCGTGCCACAGTATCTTGATGCCAATGCCTTTCCAGAAGAGGTTGGATCAGAGAATGCCAGCTGAGATGTCTTCAGTGCAAAACCCTTGCAGAAACTTATCCTGCAGAAAGTTTGACAAACACATAAGAATAAGATCAATCAACTGGGGTTCTAATTTATGTCACGACTATGAATCGACCGGGGGCACTTGCGTAAATGTAAATGGTGCCTCAACACCAAATAAGATCAAAAGAGCCTGAAAAAGCAAATGGTGGCTGCTGGTAGAGTGCTGTCATCGGAACACATGCCTAATAACCCACTTCATCAAAATCCACTACTAAGCCACTTATAAAATGTCCTATCACTTGTCTCAGCTCCATTTGCCATAATAATAAGAATCAATTCCGGAAAAATGACAATAATAGTGGGTGAAAAATTAAGTTGTGGTGATACAAGTGCTTCCCTTAACTCCTGAATCAACCTGACAGAAAGAACTTCAACACCTGATTTTAGAGAAAAAGCCGATACATGCACATATCAAATTAAATGTGACATGCTATCTCTTAGAATTGGAAAATTCTCCAATGGAAGAACTTGAATCAGCTATATGACTGCTAAAATTCACGTATGTTCGCCACAGTGGTGTACAAAAGAAATAATCCTGGCTTTTTTCTCTTTCTAAACTCCTCCTTTTGGTATCATTGAGAACATAATCTCATCTTCTGAGTCTGGTAAAGGAGGATATGCAGGTGACTTACCATTTGTAATAAGCAGTCCAAATTCAGGTACACAACTCAGATGTCAGCTATGATTTTCATATGGGCATCGGAGTGGGAGCAACAGATTGGAACTACAGGGGTCAACCAACCAACGGAAAAGAACAATTTCTCGTGCTGAAAAATTGCATTATGTGTAATTCACATGGACGGTTTGGAGAAAGAAATCTACAAGAAAAATATGTTGATTTTTTGGATCTAAACATGTTCCAAAATTTTCAATTAGCACTAGCAATAGATCAAATAATACTATTAAATGAGTTACAAGCTAAAGTTTGTGCTAGTGAGAGCTCACCTTGCAGCATCCAACAGTTGGCTGGCTATGCGTTTCTTTCTCATGGCTGGTGCAACCCAAATGACTCTAATCCCACATAGAGCAGTTACGGCTTCTTTTTCGAGAAATACTGCTCCCATGAGGTCTGCTTCTATTGGCTTAGGACTATTGCCAAAGGAGCCCCTTTCACAGCTTCCCTCTGAAAACTAATATCTCCAAACTGAAGTGCTGAAAAATTTAAGCTATTTTTCCTTGCAGTGGTACCGCCAAGGCCTTTTGACATGACCGTGTTTGGAAGAACCCTGTAGGCACTTTTAATCGGTTCTGCTACTAGACAACCAGCAATCCTATGATGGGAAATAAATAGATATACCTACAATCAAAAAGAGAAAACAAAGCTGACTTCAAAGAGACATCTCACCCCGTCTACATCATCCGCGTAACCAAATGGAAATACATGGTTCCCACCTTGCAAAGCTTGTGGATAAGCCATCCAATTCCAAGCTCCATCTCCATCATCTCCACAACCTTCTGGACCTGCCAAAGCAGCAGGTATCTCCATTAAGACTGCAGTTAATGATGCACTGATTCATATCAGAAAATTTATTTCATTATTGGAAATGCAGTAGATAAAATTCTATTACATCTCATATATGTTGAAAATGTCGAGCATTTAAATTTTTTAACGAAACTTATGGCTGACAAAAGGAAATAGTAGAAGTCAAACAAGAGTCTTTTCTATCAAATTATACATGTTCTTAGCATGGAAAGCGTATTCGACAATAAGTTGATAAGATATACGCAGAACCTTTACAGGTTTTATTAACATGAGGTGGTTTGGCATCAGTAACGCAAACTGAGTTCAATACCGGATAAATAAAAGGATAAAGAAGGACCAAAAGTTGGGCACAAGGCTAAGAAATCATGGTGGCCAATGAAATTTACACAAAAAATGGTGAGAAACGATTTAGGCAGTTAGCTTGAACCAGTGGATGGGATCCTAACCCATAACCCAGGCTTTTCAAATTGGAGTAGTATTTTCCCCATGTTCATTCATGTCCTTGAAATGGATACTGGTTTCTTATCAATACGAGCCGATGCTTTGCAAGTCGGTATTTTTTATGCTATTTGGTACTCTAACATAGAGTGTGCGAGAGAGTGTGTGTGGGGGAGAGCGAGAGAGAGAGAGAGAGAAGCCTAGAGTATGACAAGAATGTCTTCTTTCCTATATCTTATTATCGCTTTGAACGTGCCATTTCCTAAGTTCAACAAGGTTAAACAAGTACCATGGCATCAGTGAAAAGTTTTAAGGCACTAAAATTGCAGAAGTTGAATAACAGAGTATATTGATTTATACAAGTCCTCATAGAGTCATAGGGGCCTTCTAGTGAGTTCCTGGGGGGGGGGGGGGGGGGGGGTTAGCCATACTTGAAAAATGATGTGTCCTTAAACAAAGAAATGGAACCTTCTTCTTGTGAGCGGGTGGGTCTCCATCCAGCACCAAGACTATTCGTCCTGCATTGGTTGAAGGCACATGAATAACCCTCTCATTGTGCCAGCCCTGCAGATTGGAATCAGGACAAAATGCAAACAAAAGTTTGGAGAAAATCAACCGGTAAAAAATTAGGTGAAAAACCTTGAACTGGATGCCTTGAGTGTACTCCTTGTGCAATTCTTTGTGAACTTTCTCATCTTCTTCATCCCCACGAGCATACTTGAATCCACATACGGAACAAGTGTGGAGAAGAAAATCAGATTGTCCCAAATCCAAATGCAGTTGACCATACCTTCTCTTCTTGTTTAGAATTTTGGTTGAGACTGAATTGACTTCCAAAGGAAAAGCCTCTATACAGCATTCTTTTGGGGCTTCAATCTGCTGAATGCCAGTTCCATAGTCACTGCAAGGCAAGAATTCATGTGTAACACAACATTTGAAACTAAACAGTTTGCTTTTGTTGAAGTGGAATATCTAAAGCCAATAACAACTTCTGCATAAATTTAGTGTGCTGAAAGCTGACAAGAAAGATCAAAACCCATTATAGATGTGCCATCAAAGCAAGTACCATGAAAGCTTATAGCAATGTCAACATGCAGTTTCTTTTGGATCTGTCACTGCCTTACTAAAACAACAAAATTCAAAGTAGTTGTAAGTGACCAAGTGGTTACATTTCGGTATGATTTCCTTTTTCATGGTAATGGGAGGCTTTCTCTGTTTTTTGAATTGAAAAATTCGACATCTGAGCTTGTACTTTGTATATCAGCTCAAATTTGTAGAATTCGGAGATGTAAGACTTGTTCTTTAGCTCAACAAAGTTTTTTTAAGGCTAGTGACGGTTGCTCTGATCAAATCAGAAAAACTTGCAGATCTAAAGATGAATCCCCTGAGAAGTGTCATATACTTTGCGAGGGTAGAAGAAAATATAAGGTTTGGTGTATGACACACTTGAGTGTCACAAGGGAATTTGCTTCGGAAATATATGGAGTTTCCCTGATACTAAGGTTAAAAATAGAACTACAGGTCAAGCACAATGCAAAGAAGATATTTGAGGGAGAACATTGGTTCTCTTATAAGCAAGGACAACAAACTCAATGATCTGTAAGAACAAGGAAATGGACAGAACACTGGGCAGTAATTCATTGATATTCATGGCTTCAACCTAAGCATCTTACATCTTGTTCTTGCTTTTCCCCCTCAAAAAATGGAAAAAATAAACAAACATACTAATACCACCTAAGGACTTTGTCCTTTTGTTCCGGTAGTTGCAGTTGGATGGAAACTTGGGGGAGAGAGGGAGAAAGGTGAGACAAATAAAAAGCAAAAAGAATTGAACTCCTGACCTTTAGGTTTTAAACCAGCTGCAGCATAGACATACACAATTGACAAACATAAGACAATAAAAAGGATTACCAGGCAATGCATTATTACATAGGCTGAAAATTATCAATGATACCCAACAAAAATTCAGTGAAGCCTGAAGAAATTACCGTGAATAAACTTTGAATGAAATTTTAGAAAAACTGAATAACAAACTAAACTTTAATCTCATAGTTTTGGATTGTCCCATCCGACTCAGAAAAAGTCTAAGAACAAAAAATGGGTCTGTGAATCATCCATTGGTGGGCGATATATGATTGAATCAAGAAGACTGTAACAAAGAACATACATACATATGAGGAGGGTCTGTACTATTGGTTTGATCGCTGACGAGCTGCGTCTGGTTTAGGGTTTTGGGGGTTGGTTGTGGCTTGAAGAAAGCACCGATCTTCGCTTGCATTGCTATTAGTGGTGTGGACTGGATGGCTATGCTCATTTTGTGAACTTGTGAGTTGAGAAGGCTTCAGCCATTTCATGGCCAAAACCGCCTCTCATTTTTCCTTTGGATTTCGTTCCCGCCAGTTGAATCTTCAAACACGAGCCCCGGACGGAATTGAATACAAAATTCTGATTTGATTATCCGATTAATTTTATTTTTATAATTTTGATCATACCTAAAATAAACTCCGAGCGCTAAGCTCAGGAGTTTAACTCGGACCAAAAGGTCAGACAAATTAAGAGATTAGAGGGTAAGAGTCAAGTGTCTTTTAAGGCAAGATAATAGCTGAATAACCACAAAAAATCTTAAAGCGTTAGGAAACTATAATTAACATACTCAACCTCAACCACAACCAACCAATATATTTTCCTACAATTAAGGAGAAGCCTACGAAATAAGGGTAAGAATCTCGGCTAAGATCCTTCTTAACAGGGAATGACCTTATAAATGCAAGGCAATACCCCCTAACGGAGGGGAGAGGAACCCTAGGGGCAAAAAGAAGTCATAGCAACCTTGTAATCACCGTGAATAAAACAAAGGGAGCAAGAGCTTCCATTTTAGAATGAACTAGCCGAGCTCTCAAGCTGGTAAACCACTATAATTCTATTGTCTTAACTTCCAAAGCCCTGGATATTACTGCATCATTTTAGCAACCTAACGTAATCCCAGCTCATCTTTGGTAAAAAGTGCATTAACGCCATCAGTTTGGCGCCGTCAATGAGAATGACTGTTCCTGTTACAAATAAAGTTGATTTTTCAGTGACTAATGGTATCAACACGAAATATGAGCTGAAGTCAGACCAATCCTTTACGGATGCAAGATCAACAGGAAGCCGCAAATAACAGACAACTCGAACATGTGCAACAAGCTGATCCCCCTATGGGGGGCATTCCCATGAATAATGAGATGGAAGTCCTTCGTCTAGTCAATAAACGTCTGATAAAATAGAACAAAGAGCTCTTAAAGCTCCTACAACGCCCACAGGAGGCTAGATCGGCCTAAGGAGGCCAGAATAATCCACCACCAAGGAAGCAACCGTATTTCGACCCCCTTAGAGAAGTTAATGAGGTGGGAGAGAATAGTCAGACCTTGGGGCAAGAACCTCGCCTACCCCCTAGAAATGGTCACAACGAGGAAGTGCAAAGTCAGTATAAGGAAGAGGAGAGGAACGATTTCTTCCCTTATCAATAGGAGAAAAGAGAATATCACTGGAAGTAACGTTTCAAAGACATCTAGTAAGAGCTTAGCCAGATGAAGGAGGGAGTGAAGAGCAAGGCCCTAGTCACTATGGATGCCTTAGTGCAACAAACCGAATCCCCATTCACTACTAGGGTGTTGCACTTCCCTCTCCCACCTAAATTTAGAATGCCGCAGGTGGATACTTTTGATGGGACAAAAGATCCCGTGGACCACCTCAACACCTACAAAAATCAAATGGAGTTGCATGGATATCAAGATTCAGTGAGATGCAGGGTCTTTGCTATCACCCTGAAGGGCTCAGCCTTAGTATGGTTCAACAGACTCCCCCAAGCCTCGATTTCCTCTTTTAAAGAGCTGTTAATCTCGTTTGTGTCCCACTTCATCGGAGCTCAAACCTATAGGAAATCAAGCTACCATTTGTTAAATGTGAAACAAGGGCCTGATGAGAACCTAAGGTCTTATGTCCAAAGGTTCAACTCAGAATCCTTGAAGGTGGATGTCCCAGACGAAAAATTTGCTATTACAGCCTTCATAGTAGGTCTGAGAGTTCAATCAAAAGATCTGATATTTTTCATCTCAAAGAACCCCCAGGCTAGTATGGCAGAGGTGCTTGCCAAAGTAGAAAAGTACATAAATGGTGAGGAAGCGCTCCTCTCTAAGGTCGGGAGCTCTTTGTCGAGAAAGGAGAAAGGGAAGAAAGAAAAGAAGAGAGAACAAAGTCCCAGAAAGGAAAGAGAACGAGGCAGGTCTCCAAGAAGAGACAGAAAGCGTTCCTTGAAGAGAAGAGGAAATGTCAAGGATCGCCTTGGCCCTCCACAACTAGAGCTACAACCAAGGTATGCACCCCGACAGCTCAACCCTCTGATTGTTACGGTGTCTCAGATACTGTATGAGGTGAAAAATGAGAAGTTCTTAAGGTGGCCACCCCGGATGAAAGCAAACCCAGAAAAAAGGGATCCTACGAAGTATTGTGGCTTCCACAGAGACCATGGTCATCACACCGACGACTGTATCCAATTGAAGAAGGAAATAGAATTTCCAATCTAGCGAGGGCAACTGCGACGCTATGTGGCCAATGATGATCAAAACCGAGCTCTCCCACCTCCATCCCCTTAGCATCAAGTACCAGAGCCACACCAGCAACCTATGGGGGAGATCAGAGTGATATCTAGAGGATTTGCCGGAGGAGGAGGGTCCAGCTCTGCCAGAAAGTTCCACTTGCGAAAAATCAAAGCCACAAAAGCTCCCGAAGTATATATTGTGTCTAAGTCTCCATGCTTAGACATGGTTATCACTTTCTCAAATTCAAATCTCGAGGGCTGCTAGCATCCCCATGATGACCCTTTGGTGGTAAGAACTATGGTGGCCAATAGGACTGTCCATCATGTTTTGATTAACAATGACAACTCGATAAACATCATTTTTGCTTCTGCTTTCGACAAAATGGATATAGGAAGGGAAAAGCTTGAACCAGTAAGTGCCCACCTATTGGGATGCTCAAGAGAAAGGGTGTTGCCCCTAGGGTCAATCTAACTCATCTTGACCTTAGGTGACCCACCCTGTCAAACTACAACAACTATGAAATTCCTAGTGGTTGATGCACCTTCAGCATACAATATGCTCCTTGGAAGACTCTCGCTCAATTCTCTAAGGGCTATTCCCTCTGCCTATCACCTTGTAGTGAAGTTTCGAATAGAAAACGAAGTTGAAGTGGTCTGAGGAGACCAGCGCATAGCACGGGAATGCTAAATGACATCCATGAGAAATAAGGAGGTTGAGAACATCTAATTGGATGAGCTTGACATGAGGGATGAACTCGAGACCATGCCAATACCCTCAGAAGAGCTGAAACCTGTTCAAATTGATGAGGAGCCAGAGCATCTTGTTTATGTTGGATCTAAGCTGAGCAAGGAGATCAATGATCTCCTTATCCAATTCCTGAAAAGGAATAAGAAATTTTTTGCATGGAAGCAAGAGGACATGAAAGGGATTGATCCCTCTGTCATCACTTATAAGCTCAGCATGAATCCAGCATGTAAGCCCGTTAAGCAGAAGAGGAGGAGTTTCTCCCCGGAGCGTCAGAAAGTCATCAACCAAGATGTCAGCAAGCTCCTTCATGCGAAAGCCATTTGATAAGTGAATTACCCAGTCTGGCTAGCCAATGTAGTCCTAGTCAAGAAGATAAACGAAAAATGGCGTCTTTACATTGACTTTACAGACCTCAACCGTGCTTGCCTGAAAGATAATTTTCCTTTACCCCTGATAGATTTGATTGTAGATGCCACTGCGAGACATGAGCTCCTCAACTTCATGGATGTCTTCTCTGGGTACAATCAGATCAGGATGGATCCCAGCGACCAAAATAAGACCTCATTCATAACTAAGCAAGGGACATACTACTATCAAGTGATGCCTTTCGGGTTAAAAAATACAGGAGCCACTTACCAGCACCTAGTGAATAAGATGTTTCAAAAACAGATTGAGACCTCCATGGAGGTCTATATTGACGACATGCTGGTCAAGTCATTGAAGGCAGAGCTCCACATTGGACACCTAGCACAGTCGTTTCAGGTCCTGAGAGAATACAAAATGAAGCTCAACCTAGCTAAGTGTGCCTTTGGGGTGTCAACAGAAAAATTTTTGGGCTTTATAATTAATAGCAGAGGGATAGAGGCTAACCTAGAAAAGGTAAAAGCAGTGTTGGATGTGTAGCCTCCCTCCAACACGAGGGAAATACAACGTTTAACCGGGAGAATAGCTGCCCTGAGTCGCTTCATTTTCAAATCAAACGACAAGTGTTAGCCCTTCTTTCAAGTCTTAAAGAAAGCCTTTTAATGGGATGCTCGGTGTGAAGAAGCCTTCAAAGCATTAAAAGAATACTTGAGCTCCCCACCTGTCTTGGTAAGTCCGTTAGAAGGTGAAGTACTTACACTTTATCTGGCTGTCTCAGAGTTCTCAACCAGCACAACGCTATTAAGGGAGAAGGACAGAGCTCAGCAACCAGTTTACTACTGCAACCGAGCTCTGAGGGGGGCAGAAGAAAGGTATCATAAAATGGAAAAACTCATTTTAGCCTTAGTGACAACTGCCAGGAGACTAAGACCCTATTTCTAGGCTCATACTATCGAAGTCCCAACAGATCAACCTATGAAGCAAGTGCTGCACAAGCCAGAATCTTCGGGGAGACTAATTAAATGGGCCGTTGAACTTAGCGAGTTTGACATCAGATACAAGCCAATGACAGTCATTAAGGGGTATATATTGACAGATTTTATTGCAGAATTCACAATTGGGATACCTGCAGAGACAACACAGTTAGTATCTGACCTCCCCACGTGGAAACTTTCAGTTGATGGAGTTGCCAATGCTCAAGGCAGTGGAGCTGGTTTGATTTTGACTTTTCCTGATGAGATAGATGTTGAATACGCACTGAGATTTGGATTAAAAGCTTCAAACAACGAAGCCAAGTATGAGACAGTCATAGCAGGGCTCAACTTAGCTAATTCAACGGAAGTCGAGCAATTGGAGATCTACAGTGACTCACAACTCATGGTGAAACAGATAGAGGGTGCTTACGAGGCTAAAGGGGAGAAGATGACCCTTTATCTTAGAAAAGTTCAAGAAGTGATCAAAAATTTTGTACAAGTGAAGATCCGGCATGTTCCTAGGGCTGGCAACAGCTTCGCAAGAGAATCTGGGTAGGTTAATTCCAGTGGAACACCTAGCAGAACCCTCTGTGTATATTGAGAATGAAGAAGTT